TATATTAATATATAGTTTTTCTTCATTACCCATTCAAGCCATCTCCAACCATTATTAGAAAGTCAACATGTTCGGAGTTATCACCTTTAGTGAATTCAGGATTTTTATGTCTTGAGTGTATTATAATTATTTTAAAGAAGAAGTGACGTAACAACAAACTGTTCAAAACAACGAATAATTCGATGGATTAAGCGACAAAGTTTTATTAATAGTCGTCATTTTTTTTCTGCATTGAGACTTGAGTTCCTCTCGTTTTCAATTAATTAAGTATGTGACATGCGTAACAGCTGTTCCTTTCAGGACTAGTGCACGTGTACTATTGTTGTGGTTATTGTAAGGCTCCCTCTCTAGTCTACTGTTCAATCTAGCCATCACTAAGCCTCTCATGAACTAATTGCGCGGAAATTAAGTAGGCGTGCGCATGTAGTGAGGAGGCGGAGCTATGAATAGTGCAAATTTCTCTTAGCGACTAACATCACCGAGTTACGATGATCTGGAATAACTTCAGCATTTGTTTAAAAAAAACATAAAAACTTGAAAAATAAAAAATAATAGATAAGAAAGAAAACAAATAACTACCAGAAAAAACAATGTTAAACCCAAGTTTATTAAAATAAACAAGTTTCGAAAATATGTGTTTTTCTCTTAATACGACGAGCATAATTTACAAATTAACCACAGATATTTGTAAAATATGAATATTGTTACCAGTGTATGAGGAAGGCCTTAAAAAAAAAGAAAAAAAAGTTTTTCTCAATTATTGAGTAAGCATTTACTAGCTGGCTATTTTACTGGTGACGATGATTTATTGACCACGGTTACAACAATAGATACAATAAAATCACACTGTTATTTTAACAATTAGATATTTCTCATCAAAGAGTGAAATAGGTGAGACTCAGTATTTAACGATAAATTTCACATATTTCTTGTGCTTTATTAGTTGATGATGAAGTACTAACAATTACATCAGGAATAAAAGATAACACACAGTAATCCCAACAACAACAAAAACAGAAATTAAGCATTTCTAATTACATTTCTGCCTTTCAAGTGACTAGTGAAAACAGCGAACACTGTTCTAGTTTGAACCAAATTATACTGGAAATAAACCTGAGAATTTTACTGTGTTTAGGTTAGTGTAAAATATTAATAATCCAGCATTTAGTGTTACTTTCAAGACAGTATGTTCTATTATACAAGATGTATAAAACTAGTGCCGAAAAAAAAGATTTTCAAATAATAGTTCTGTTCATCCGTTTTCTCCATATCTTCTAATGAAGAGAGTTTCTTGTTGCTCTCACAACAAGGCTAAATTTCTACCGTTGTAAACCACTTCAATGGTCTTGGTCACCAACAACGTCTACTTCTGGTTCTGCCATCATTGAGTCGTAATCCCCGCTGTTGCTTGTTTCCTCCTGAGGGCTCGTACTGCTAAGACGGCCGGTTTCACGAACCTCGTGTGCATTATGCTCTTCATTCAACTTCCGTAACTGTTTCTTGTGTTTCATTCGACGGTTTTGGAACCACGTTTTCACCTGGAAAAAGATATGTACTTTTTTTTGTAGCCTGACAGATGTGCATATTCGAGTCATCTAAAAAGCTAATCTGTATTACTGAAACACTTATAAACAGTCAACCAGGACTCAAAAATTTACAACATAAACAAAATGTCCTTTAAGTGTGCCGGTCTAGCTCTGTTTTATGTATATTTGTAATGAAGGTGGTCTTGATGCTATTTATCTTTCATACAGATTTAAAACTATTTGAAACATAATGAATTGGGATTATGAAAAATGCAGCATTGATATGTTACGTAGCTGAATTTAGGTATTAATGTTCATTAGCGCATTACTCGAATAGCAATTAACCTGGGTTTAATATGTGAAGAGCTGTAATCCAATGATATACTATGTTTTAAGCAAATTAATCAGTGATGAAAACCATTTCTTAGCTGCATGAATTACCCTAGTGACTCAGTGAAAAGTCTGAGGACTTACATTGCTACAAACTGGGTTTCGATACACTCGATGGGCAGATCACAGATAGCCCATTGTGAAGCTTCATACTTAACAACAATTAGCAACAGCAGGTGCACAAATATAAGTTAACGTAATGTCTCGTATTAAGCTGACGTAATATCTCGTATACAGCTGATAAAGGTGCCGTTTCTAGTAATGGTCTACCATGAACTTTAGTCTCCTTTACGTATTTTTCTTCTACAGTTGTTGAAATCTTAATACGATGCTTAAGTTTATTCTTGGAAATGTCCTCTAGTGGGTCAACGGTACGTTTACGGCCTTACTTCGCAAAGATCCAGGTTTCAATTCCCTGCGGTAGCCTAAAAACTAAAACAACTGGACAAATAAACAATTCTTGGAAATGTCCCCTACTGGGTCAACGGTACGTTTACGGCCTTACTTCGCTAAGATCGAGGTTTCAATTCCCTGTGGTAGCCTAAAAAACTAAAACAACTGGACAAATAAACAATTCTTGGAAATGTCCCCTACTGGGTCAACGGTACGTTTACGGCCTTACTTCGCTAAGATCGAGGTTTCAATTCCCTGTGGTAGCCTAAAAAACTAAAACAACTGGACAAATAAACACTAATTGGAAATTTACTGTTGCCCAAATGTATCTATTATATTCGGTTATTGCCTGTCCAGACTGTCTTTCTTTTCTTGTCGTTTCTTGAATCTTAGCAAAAACAAAAAAAAGGTATTTAGTATGTATAGTTTAGTGGCCTTTAAAGTGTTGTTCTGGCTGTACGGTTCTTTGTTTTGTGTAGTAGAAACTAGGTATTTGTGACGGTCACTTGTATACCCATTAATCGACACAGAAACAGTTTTTAATTACAGCTCAATTGCTACAACGAAAGTTTATTTTTATCTTTCTCTTTCAACCATTCTTGCTTCTATCTCACAACTATAAACCGCGGTGCTATCATGATGTTATTTTATACACTATGATCCAAGGCCTTTCTTCTCCATCATCTGTTGCTCACCTACCAACTAGATCTTCTCGATTCTCCTGTTTATTGCGATAGAGAACTTACCTGTGCGTAAGTTTAATTCTCTTTCTAAACATACCAAATTAAGATTGGTGTTATAAACCTGATGAGCCTTTACACTGTACAAAAAGCCTCATCATCAGCGAATACATCAGATAAAATGCACTTGAAATGCTGTTAATGCACTGTTTTCACTGAGAACAAAGGACAGTCAGAGTTGAAAGTGAGCTATCATAAACATTTGCAATTTCACTGTGACATTTCTGTTATGCTTCAGGATACAAGTTTCATACGTATTTATTCAAGCAAAACATCTATATTCCTTACTTTAATGTCTGAAAAACTGTAGCCATAATATGACTCTTACAAAGTCAAGCATCGGTAAGCTAAAAAAAGAAAAATAATTATTTATATCTGTTATCACCAGGGTAGAGCGAGCGGTGCGGGCGCAAAGGGCGCCAACTCAATGGGGAGTGCCGATTGCCCGATTGATTAACAAAGCGAACTAATGGATTGGGTTGGGGGCGCAGAATTTATATTTCGTATAGGGCGCCAGAAACATCGGCACTTATTACACTAAGAGGTGTTAATAGTCTTAGTTTTGTACCGTAGATTGTGTGTTTTGTTTTCTCTCCATTTTTGGCTTCATTTAAAAATTAAACCTAGCCTGAAATAAAAGTTTTGTTTACTTGAACCACTAGTATTATGAATAAGACAATTCTTCTTTCACACTTCACAATAATCAATAGTGCGTTCTTAATTACATCAATTCTAAATCAAACATTTTCTTAAATTATGAATATATTACATATGGATTGTATTATCATAACATGCTATGTGTTATTCAAAGCAGTACTCTTGAACTCTATCGATCGATTGGTAACGCTCAAAAGCCAAGAAATGACATTTTTTGGTTGCAATAATTCAAGAATACTGCTATATTAATTCCATTTTTAATTCATAAAATTTCTAAATGCATATAGAAATAATTGTAATATAGAAAATAAGAAATAAGAAGAAGTATTTAAATTTGTTGAATATTTCATGTAGCGTAGCACACCGTAACAAAAGTAACATGTTGCTATATGCGGTGTGCTTTCATTTTAATTATTTGCTTTAATGCCAGTATACCTAAAGGAGCTAATAAAAGAACAAATATATTATGCAAATCCGTGAAGCGAATGGAACAATGAAGGATTTCTGGTGATGCACTACAGTTAATACAATCATTAAGTCGGATTAAACTAAGTAGGAAACAAGACACAAGTAGCCTCGTGTATCATGAATGCTGTAGTTCTACTCTATAGCAGAGAGAACGCTGGTAAGAAGTGGATCTCAAAGTAAGCACACAGTTTAGCCACTAAACGAGTAAACGGACCCGAAAGTGGTGATTACTTACTACTTTCTCCCCTAACAGCCCATTACCGGATGCAAATGTTGCCTTAGCTGACACTTGTCAAAGAGAATCTGCTGCTACTTACAGAAGCAGGATTGTAATTCCAGTTAAGTATGCTCGATAGAAACCTCCCCATAAGTCAAACAAATTCTCTGTTATAAATTATAAACCTCCTAAAAGCGTGTTTTGATTTCAGACACAATGCACAAGAAAACAATTTTTTTTTCAAACGGATCTGTACTGCTAGTTTTTATTTTTTGAACTATTCGATTTTACATTCACGATAAAAATAAAAAATCGTATTGCTCTGTTGCTAAGATTATTCTATAAATAATCCTCCCAGCAGATCGTGCAAAAGTAAAGTTTTTTTTTTAGTTTCTTTATTTCTAAAAATATTGAGCAAATTGTGGTTACACGAACTAAAATATACAATTAAATACATATAAGTAATTTATTCTTGACTAATAACTGTGAATTTTTATACTCCTGTGTGAAATATCCATGAAGAAATCCATTACTCTGGTTTGTTTTGAATTTCGCAAAAAGCTACACGAGGGCTATCTGCGCTAGCCGTCCCTAATTTAGCAGTGTAAGACTAGAGGAAAGGCAGCTAGTCATCACCAGCCACCGCCAACTCCTGAGCTACTCTTTTACTAACGAATAGTGGGATTGACCGTCACTTTATAACGTCCCCACGGCTGTTTGGTGGGACGGGGATTCGAACCCGCGACCCTCAGATTGCGAGTCGAGCACCCTAACCACCTAGTCATTACTCTGGATATGATGACAAAGATTTTACCATGTAAATTCTAATAATGAAATCTGAATACTTCCCCCACGTCAAAAATGATGCAAAATAGTAATATTTCCACGGATATGTATTTAAAAGTTATGGTAGTTTCATGACTACAGTATTGACAATTTGTTAATAATGTTTTTGGGTAAAAATACGGTTTACCTTCAAATTGATAGATTTTTAAAAGGTATTTTTGATTCATTTTGAGCAAAAATAATGTAAATAAAGCATAATAACGAAAATGAATATTTCCACTGGGAGGCTTGTAAATCAAATATTTATACGGCTTGACAACGTGGTGTCGCTCACTATAATAACTGTACTCGCCCAAAATAAATTAAAACTATTAATTGTTTATTTATCTTCCTTTGGTTCTTTTGATATACTCTTTCAATTTAATTTTATTTATTTTTGAGTCATTTTCTGACTTAGTAAAACCATTATATAGAGCAATTAGAATAACGCTATAAACGAACTTATAGATAATGAACGAATATGGATATTTAATAAGATTTGGTAATAATTATTCCAAGATTTTTTTAATTGTGTTTCATAAATCGGAATAAAAAAACACAGAATTATCTTTTAAGCTTGAAATTATATATATATATATATATTGTAAAGAAAATTTTCAGGTTAAAATATAATCTGACTTACAGTCCCCAGATGGGACTGCGGCAAGTTTCTGTACTTACAACGCTAAAATCCAGTGCTCGATTCCGCGCAGAGGACACAGCAGATAGCCTAATGTGGCTTTGCCCTATTACAAACAAACTCTGACCTATAAATAACGTATACAGTGATAATTAGTAATTGGTAGTAAATATGTATTAAAACTAAAGAGACAGATGCCTTCTTCAGGTCAAATATATAAAATGTTTATAAGAACTGATAGCTATGTCCACAACATTTATGTCATATAAAAGACGTTATTAATTAAGAGATAAAATCAAGACAAAAAAAATAAACATTTTTTTTTTCAAAGAAAATATAATCTTTAGACAGAATGTATTGAACTGTTATGTGTATTCATGTAAATACACATAGATATTTCTGGAAATTTTATAAATCACAGAAGTAAGGAGATCAAATACTATTTCACTGAGCGCTTAATCATTGTGATCTAATAAGTAATTTACTTTTAGCAAATGAAAAACATGTCAGTCGATGTAAGCTAAAGAGATTTGTTTTTCAGGAGTAATTTTTAATGCTCTTCCTGTCATAAAGAAATAAAACTTCTAGAAATCAGTAAGTACATCTCTCTTTTAAAAGACGCCCCCCCCCCCACATAAGATGTAATTAGGCCCCTACATTTATGCCCCTATAGTTGTGGTTA